TAGAAAAATCATTTACTTCCGAAACGGATGAGAAATGAAGAGTGTGTTGAATTCTAAGCAGTAACTTACAACAATTCAATGACATTAGTTTATTTCTCACGGGTTTATTGGGTTGCTGTCGGCAGTTATGAACTCAATGACATGTCACACTTGTCTTCCTCAAGGAAATAACGTCAGTCCTTTAATGCCTCCACACCATGATTCCTCTGTTTTTCTCAAGAGTAATTTGTATGAAACACTCACATGGTGACAGTATGATTTAATAATATTATGATATAATAATATTACGATTTAATATAGTAACTTAAACGTAGCTTTTGATTATGTTAAACATGGTCTTTTAAAAATTAGTATTTTAAAAAATATTGTAGGCAAAATTTTTGCATCTTCAACCATGCAGGACTAAATTTTTCTGTACATACACCTTGGTTTATTCTGTGCATTTGAATGATTAAATGATCTCGTGTTAAAATAATTTTTTGTAGAAGTAATCTACAAACGAAGATTAAGAAGTTGAACGATTTTGATTATGAATGTTGTTAGATCAAGATACATTATTTGCAAGACTCTAAAAAGACGTTAAGTGCTAGTCAGACGGTAGGCAAGGGCCTAGGCGATTTTTAAATGAGAGTTACCACCTAGGCGATGCTAGGCAAACGTCTCGACAGATCTAGACGTAATTTCTTAATTTTTAAACGTTTAAGAATTAATTAAGACTGCGACTAGACACTTGGCTTCTAAACTATATAGATTTTTAGAACAATGATTTAAAAAAAATAAGAGTTGTGTATCCCTTCATGGGATGCAATCATGCAAGTATTATCTTAAAAAAAAGAAACTGAAAAAAAAAAAGCATCACAGGATATGTACGCGTATTTCAGTCAAAGATTTGACATTCTCTCCCATGCAAAACTAAAATTTGCGAAATAGATGGGACCACGAACAATCTTTATTACCATGTTTATCATAAATAACAGTAAAATAAAATTATAAACAAATTTAATTAATTTTGCAAAACTCAAGTGATTTACGCATCCCCTTTTAACTTTTCCTTTTTCAAAAGAAACAAAGAAAGCACCAATCAAAACGAATGGGACTTTACCACTACAAAACCAGAAGCTTCTCCTCTGCTGTTTTATACTCTCTGCCCAAAAAAATCCATTGCTTCCTGGATCACTCTCTCTCACTCTGTTTTTACCAGAAATAAATCAAAAAAATTTTAAAAAAAATCCAACCATAGATGCAGTAATTGGTTCCTCCACACACAGTCATTGCTTCCTCCTTCTTCTTCATCGCCCAGAAGAAAGCAACCCATTTAGCTGAAGAACTCTCTCTCTCTCTCTCTCTCTAAGCAATGGGAGCTTCCAAGACCAAAACTTTCCCACATTTTCCATCGTTTTCCTTCGTTTTCTCACTCTTTCTCACTCTCTCATCGACTTTCCGGCCAACCCATTTCTGCTCTGCCCAGCAGCAGCAACCCATCAAAACCATCGTCGTTTTGGTCATGGAGAACCGCTCCTTCGACCACATGCTGGGTTGGATGAAAAAATCCGTTAACCCAGCAATCAACGGCGTCACTGGCAAAGAATGCAACCCGGTTTCAACCAAACCCGCCGACCCGGAAAAATCCATCTGTTTCTCCGACGACGCCGAGTTCGTGGATCCGGATCCGGGTCACTCATTCGAAGCGGTCGAGCAGCAGGTATTCGGGTCGGGTTCCCTCCCTTCGATGACCGGGTTCGTCGAACAAGCATTGTCAATGTCCCCAAACCTCTCCGAAACCGTTATGAAAGGCTTCAGACCGGAATCCGTTCCGGCCTACGCGGCCCTGGTCAGCGAATTCGCGGTGTTCGACCGGTGGTTCTCTTCAATTCCCGGTCCGACTCAACCCAATCGGCTGTTCGTCTACTCCGCTACTTCCCACGGCTCGACCAGCCACGTCAAGAAACAATTAGCTTCCGGGTACCCACAAAAAACAATCTTCGATTCCGTCCATGAAAACGGGTTGGATTTCGGTGTCTACTTCCAGAACATCCCGACAACAATGTTCTACCGAAACATGCGGAAACTGAAGTACATTTTCAAGTTCCACCAGTACGATTTGAAGTTCAAGAAAGACGCTCGGAAGGGGAAGCTCCCGAGCTTGACGGTGATCGAACCGAGTTACTTCGACCTTAAGGGGATGCCGGCGAACGACGACCACCCGTCCCATGATGTCGCCAACGGTCAGAGGCTGGTTAAGGAAGTTTATGAGACGTTGAGGGCGAGTCCTCAGTGGAACGAGACGCTTTTGGTGATCACGTACGACGAGCATGGCGGGTTTTTCGATCATGTCAAGACTCCGTATGTTAATGTTCCGAACCCGGACGGGAATAGCGGTCCGGCTCCTTCTTTTTTTAAGTTCGATCGGCTCGGAGTTCGCGTGCCGACGATTATGGTGTCGCCGTGGATTAAGAAGGGGACTGGTAAGATTGCATTCACATTGTTTTTTAATGCGTTTGTGTTGAATGTTTGACGTGTTCAACTGTTTTTGGTAGCAATTTTAATTGGATATTAGTTTTTCTTGAATATTGGTTGTGTTATTGGTTCATTAGCTTGTTCTGCGTGATCGATCATCTAGTATCATTTGGTTTTGATTCTGTTGTGGCCCGTTTAAGATTGCTTTTGTAGGAAGTACTTATGCTCTTGGCAGGTGCTTATCTAGAAAGTGTTTCTATAACCCAAAAACACTTCCTAACATCTTCTGCCAAACGCAGTCAAAAACGCTTTTAGCCATTCCAAAAGTAGTCCCGAACAAGCACATAAATGCCTCCAAGTATAGAAAAAAAAAACAAGTTTTCTCTCATTGAAAGTTTTCTTCAGCACATTGTTTATTGTGGATTGAGTAGAAGTAGAATTTAGGTTGTTGGGAAGTTATTGTATTGAGTTCAACCCATATTTGCTAAGTTTTCATTGATTACGTGGTGCTTCTGCGTTTGTTTGCTGTAATTTGCTAGTGGTTTGTTTGATTTTGCAGTGATGAGCGGTCCTCAAGGACCTACACCGAACTCCGAGTTTGAGCACTCTTCAATCCCCGCCACCATAAAGAAAATGTTCAACCTCAGCTCTAACTTCTTAACTCACAGAGACGCATGGGCGGGGACGTTTGAGCAAGTTGTTGGGCAATTATCTTCTCCCAGAACTGATTGCCCAGGTATCTATCTAGTTTCTGCTTCCAATTATAATGAACTTGTGTGGAGATTTTAGAAAGTAACAGAACTATAAGCGTTTTTAGTTGTCAGAAAGTGCTTTTGAGCCTACCAGGAGCAATCAATCCTAAACAATCACGAAAGTACATTTGTAACCGTGTAATTTGAGGTTGACATTGTAAGAAAACTTATTAATGTGCATACTGCTCTGCTGAGTTCTTGCAGTGACCTTGCCGGACGTAGTGCCTCTGAGGAAAACGGAGGCCAAGGAAGACAGTAGTTTATCCGAGTTTCAGGGGGAGGCAGTGCAGTTAGCGGCCGTGCTCAACGGCGACCACTTCTTGAGCAGCTACCCGGATGAAATGAGCAAGAAGATGAGTGTGAGGGAAGCTCATGGGTACGTGAAAGGTGCAGTTTCAAGGTTCGTTAGAGCAAGCAAAGAGGCTATAAAACTGGGAGCAGAAGAGTCAGCAATTGTAGATATGAGATCTTCCCTCACAACTAGGTCCTCAAATATTAAAAATTAACTTGGATCCTCCTCCTCCTCCTCCTCCTCCTCTTAGGGTTTCTATACATACATAAGTTCTTGTGTTTGCGGTTGTAGAAATGCAATGACAGTAAAGGAAGTACTATTTGATCGAGTTATTTCGGTTTTCCTATCCAAGTCCATTGGCGTATTTACGCAAATAGAATGAGAATTGAAATTATTCAGACCCACGACTTTAACCGTGGTAAGCAATACGTATATCAAAAACCCGGAATTAGAGACTTCATTGATTCTGCTTTCTGATTCATGACTTTTTTATTCTAAGCGAGCACTTCATCCATTGTGTTCTAAGAAAATATTGATTTTGGTTCAGAACAAATGATAAAGAGATAAAATTTGCGCCTCAATCAAAGATGAAAGAGAATGGTGGGAAATAAGCAAATTCAAGAAAAAAAAGAGGCATCAAATTTACCTTTTGAACGAAAAGAAATGGAATCGTCGACAGCAGGGTTCGAACCTGCGCGGGCGTAGCCCAACAGATTTCAAGTCTGTCTCCTTAACCACTCGGACATATCGACTCCTTGTTCGTACCGTTGTTTTATATATATTTATAACTAGAAAGGGTAAAGAAGAAAACAGAGAGCATAAACTCTACGATGGTAAATAAAGTCGTGCGTCACGTTTTAAGTCTCATATTTAAATTAATTTAGTCTTTATCATGTTGCAAAAAGTAAATATGACTTTAAAAGTGTTCAACGATACATAAATTAAATTAAATTTATCTTGTTGCATAAAGTAATTAAGAGTTTACGTCTCATGTTGAATGATAAAAATAATAAAATATTTGAATTCAAACACGTATACATTCTTAATTTTGCTGATAGAGAGAATATCGTAAAATCACACAAGCACATGAATACAATAGCTAACAACAAAATTAATGCTAAATTTTGAACTCCCAACTCAATTTTTTTTTCCGTGAACTCCTAACTCAATTACCAGTGCAAGTTTAAAACTTATTCGTCACAAAATATCTAATGTTAAAAACAAATTATAATAATATTTTATTACAATACAATTTAACATATTATGTTGTCAAATTATTATGATTTTTTCATCACAAGCCAAATGATCGATTTTAGCCACTCGTTGAATACAAGTTTACCTTTTCAATAATCCGACATATTATGTTATCAAACAAGATCTTAGGTTGTTGAGGTTGTTTTGTTGAGTCATTAGAAGAGCACAAACAAACGACACATTTTGGACATGTGGTTGTCATTTGCATGATATAAAACGGCATTGTTTTGGAGACCAAAACACTACGTTTAATCAAATGGAACCAGAGAGAGCGCATGGCAGTAAAAGGTTGAGGATAAGCCATGGCCAACATGAGCTTCAATTTGATGAGTCATCATCTTCTTCCTCCAACTTCCAATCACTCAATCCCCACAACCTCTCATTGCCTCCAAAACCCGAAATCCAGTTTGCAGAACTCGACCCGAAAGCCGATAATCCTCCCTAGTCTCCTCTCTCTAGCTCTCACTGTCACACTTGGCTCACCTTTACCTGTTTTGGCAATCCCTTCTCTCAACTCTCAGTCCAATGTAGCCCCTCCTCCTCCGACCACTCCATTCTCTCAGGCCAAGAATTTGAAGACTGGCCTTGAATTCGGGTACACTTTAGTTTTTTTCAAGTTCAATTCATTGTTTCTTTAACTGGATTTTTGCTATTTTAATTTGCTAGATACGTACAAATAAGTAGACGACATTCTAGTCAAGTTGGTTAGAGCAATACACTCCCCCCTGCGCCTAAATTCGAATTCCGCTCCTGTAGTTAGATCACAGTTACATTAGAATATAATCCAACTACAGTCTCAAATGAGTGTTTTTCAAGGAGTTTGAGATAACTTATTTACTTGGGTTTGTTCTGAATCCATTTCTCGTTGTTAGTTCTTTCCATTTTTGGTAATTGGGATATAATGTTGTGTGAAATAAAATGTGTTCGTTGGAAAGCAAATAGAAGTTTGTGGTTTTTTTGCTCTGCCTTCCACAATGTGCTTTGCTGTTTTTTGCTAAATATGATTTGTGTGTCTTGAACTTGCAGGAAAATTAGACCTTGCCCATCGATAAATCCTGGCTGTGTATCGACAAATCCAAGATCGTCATCGTTTGCATTTCCATTGGAGATTCCTGCAAATTCTTTAGACAATGCAATTCAGGTTCATAGAGAATTAATGCATACCCCCCCTCTTATTAAACTTTGACTTAAACTTGTGCTTTTATCAAGCTATCATACTTGCTTTGTTCTGAATGTTTAGCGTTCACTTTCTTGCATCCTAAGTTAAGTAGCTTTAGGGTAGTGATTTTAACACTCATCGTTACATCGTATCCACTCCAAACTGAATATTTACATTTCTTTCGAGTTTAAAAAGGAGTGCGAAAATCATTAACCTAGTTTTAGTATTTTTTTTGAGTCACTTGTTTGATAAAATTATGCAGAGGTTGAAAGAAGCAATCTTGGAAACTCAAAAGAACCCAAAAATTCAGATCGTGGAAGATACTCCTGATGGTAAGTAGATTAAACACATGCATAACATTACTTAAGTTTAAACCAAATTTAAAGGGATAATTAACAGGAGAATACTTTCCCAGGGCAATATTTACAAGCTGAGTTCGATGGAGGCTTTGGCAGGGATGTGGTGGAGTTTCTGGTGAAAGGAGACTTGGCTTCGTACAGGTGCATGGCCACAAAAGTAACATATTTGTACCCTTTCACAACTGCTCTAGGAAATTCACAGGGACAAGAAGAGCGGATGAAGAAAATTACTGACCAGTTGGGTTGGTATGCTCCAAGTTTTGAAGCCATGGACTAATTAATAATTAATTTGGATTTTGTTAATAGTTAATGTGTTCATGGTTCTTGTTTTTTTTAATTTTCTTTTTACCCTTATCTATATATATATATATATATAATTTGTACGAGACACATGTTTGGAGCTAGTATTTGAGTTTCTATTTACATGCCCGGTTATAAAATTGTGGTACAAATACTGTGAACACTCGGATGGATTTCGAGTTTGCATAAATCAACATCTGTTAGTCATAGTTGCGCGTAGATGAATCTACAAAGTTACGTTATGTTTGGGTGAGGAACATCCAAATTGTAAGGCAATATGAAAAACAAATTGATCACAAAAAGTGGAATAAGAGGATTTAGAAAATCCATTACATGAGCATTACAACGGTACATAAGAGGAATTTGTAAATGACTCATTCTAAGTAGACATTTTGCCAATTTCCCTCACATTAATGATCACCGTAAGAGGAATTTGTAAATGACTCATTCTAAGTAGACATTTTGCCAATTTCCCTCACATTAATGATCATGTGGTACATTTATAATCTCTCTGTCTAACTTGTCACAGCCCGTCCCGAAATATTTATTTTCGACGGCGTGAGATTACTTATTTACCCTTGGACGTTTTGTGTGGTCATGTGGGTGAAGTTTTATTTGGACCAATTCAAAGATTTTCCTAAGTTTTTGGAACACTTAGGACTTAGTTCTGTTGGTTGTGACCAACTAGGACCACACACAAGCACCCATATTTTTCTCTTTCCCGTTGATTCTCTCTCTTTCCCTTCCCTCTTGGATTTCCTTCCATTTCTATACAAACCGTACGGTCAACCTCAAACCCTTCAACCATTCACGGATCGACGTTAAAAAGGTGATGTTCTTGTTCCCTACAAGCTCCTGAGTCCATTCGTACAATTTTTAGGACTTGAAAGCTTGTAAAACCCGAGAAACCATAACCTCCAACTTGAGGTACTATTCATGCACACGTAAATGTGTATTTTTTTGAGAGTTTTGAAGTTATAAGGAGCTTTAGATCATCTTCACGAGGCTCGGAGAAGAAAAATGAAGTGATTTGGATGTCGGGAAGCTCGGGAATAGGGAGTTGCAGGTTTAGCCGGAATATCGAAGGATTTTCCGGCGAGTTTCGTCGGTTTTAGGACTTTTGAAAGGTAAGGTTTTATTCTACTTGTCCTAAGCTTCAATTTGGTTCAAGTTTCGTGGAATTTGGTTGAGAATTGGACGAGATATGAAGGTTTTCATGATTTTTCAGTTTCCGGTGAACGGCGACGGCAACTGGCGAGGCTAACCGAAGAATAAGATAGAATATTTCATCATAGTTGATGGAATATTCTGACGCCGTCAGGTAGAATTAACGGTTTATGTTACTTTTTAACGGAATATTCCACAGAATATTCCAAACGGGGTTAGGGGATTCCGTTAAGGTCCCTGCTTGTGGCCGCGCATGGGACGTCGGAAAATTTTTCTAAAAATATGGGGATGTTCGTGAGGTTGTGTAGATCACATTGGTATATTCAAACATCCCATTTGAGCAATGTATGAGAAGTTATTAGCTAGTATTGGTTATGTGATTTAAATTAACGTTTTTATAGTTTTTTCGCATATAGGGAAGACTTATCCCGAGGACGAGCGCAGTCAAGGGCGACTCGGGGGCTACGACTCTTCGACGTACCAGTGAGTAGGCTTTTGGTTTTTAGTATATACTTATATACTTGATATTTTCCCAGAAAATTGCATTTAAATAAGTTATGATTTAAATTGTCATGCCAATGTTTTACATTTATAATATGCATATGATGTTTGCATATATATATATATATATATATATATATTTGTGGTGTTGTGGACGCTCAGGTAAGCCTATGTGAGTTTATGAATTGTGAATGTGAATAACGGTTGTGATTAATTGAGAAGCATAGAGCTCATAAACCTGCACCCCAGTGTTAGTGATTAGCTAGATATATGACACATGTATGTATATAACGTCACCTCACACACCCTATGCTCACATTGGATCCAATTTAGGTACACAGTCTTGTTGTACAGACCATTATAGGTGGTTCCGACTCGTAGATGACTAGCGATTTATCGCACATCTATCATGAGAGCGTAGTATTGAGCATAATTATATTACACCCAGTCTTGTCGTACAAACCCTTCCAATGGTTCCGACTCGTGTGTAGTGTAGCACCGTATAGGTTACTTGCAGTGACTCCGGCTAGATTGACTAATGAGCTATGAATTCAGCCCAGACTTCTGTAGGGGTTCCGGCTAACGTGTTATTTTCCATGAATTTATTTTCACCTGAGTTACTTATCCGGTTTATATCTTGGCATGGCATACTTATGATTATGAATATGTGTAGCATGATTTGAATTGATATATATAGATATAGGTATATGTTTATATTCTATTTTTGGGAAAAAGTATACATATTTTACGGCGAGGGGTTAGAGCATTTGATAAATGAAATGATTTTGAAAAGCTTTGTTTTTGCCCACTCATATTTTTTGTTTTGCGCCCCTCCAGGTTTTAGGTAGACTTATTGTTGGTGGCATTGAGGATCTCAACGGTTCTGACAGAATAAAATATTCGTAGGATATCTTCTGGTACTGTATAACTAGTACTTGTCCTATTGGACTGCACCTAGACTTTTTATGCTCTGATTAGGAGTATTTGCTCTTATATCTCACTCCTAGCACTTTTTTCTTATTAGTGCACATTAGTAGCTTTCGGTTTTTTATTTATTCGTATATTTCTTATCCTTATCGTTTCCGCACTGTGCACATGGCTACGTCACCCTCACGTGACAGCCATCATGCATCGATCTCGGTCGGGATGTGTCAGTTTGGTATCAGAGCCTAGGTTTAGCAATCCTGTATATCTTGTGAATGATCTAATCATTGTGATGTCTTCTGTCAGAACTATGTCGCCTAGTAGAGAGCCACGTCACTCAGCTGAGCCTAGTTTCCCTGATATTGCTCAGTTAGAGGAAGTTATAGCTAATGCCATTCAGTCTTCACTCTGTCATCCTCAAATGACACATCTTGAGACTGTGTATAATCTGAAGCTGAATCATTTCATGGGAAATGAAGGACATGAGGTAGTGGACAAGTGGCTTAATCATGTCGAGAAGACTTTCCTTGTGATGCAGAGTCAGGGGAATCTTCTTCCTGATAGGTGGGTCGAGACGACTACCTGGTTTTTAGGTCTGGATCCTGCATCCTGGTGGAGACAGAAGTCATATCAAATGCCACCAGAGGTTGTAGCAGATTGCGAAGTGTTTAAACAATTGTTTAGGAAAAGGTTTATTCCCCCTGAGTACATTGATAGCAAGAAACAAGAGTTTACGCATCTGAAACAAGGAAAGATGTCAGCAAATGAGTATTACAGGAGGTTCACTGATTTGTCTCGATATGATTTAGAGGTTGCTGCTAATCCGGTTGAGATGCTCCATCGTTTCAGGTTGGGTACTAAGAAGAAATGGCATTCTATAGCGACATTGACTCCCTGTGCCACCTACCAGGAGTTTTATGAGGTGTTACTGCGGATTGAGGACTCAAAGAACATGCCCAATGAAAGTAAAGATGAAGAAGAAAAGAACGGGAACCAGATGCGAGATGATAAAGGTAAATGTCAGTCATCTCAGGGGCCTCGTAAGACCTAGAGTTTTAAGAGAAGTGGTGTTAGTTCTAGCTCTTCTAATGGAGGCTTGAGCTCTAATATGCAGATAAAAGGTGGTAGATTTTCTGGAGGCCCGAGATTTCAGAGGCAAATGGACTTTGGTGGTTCAGATGCTCATTTATGCCGCATGTGTAATATTAGGCATTTTGGGGAGTGTAAGAGAGGCAACAATGCATGCTATACTTGTGGACAGATGGGGCATAGGGTTGCACATTGCCCTCAGAATCAGCAAAGGCCCCAACAGCCTTCCTTACCACCACCTGCACCGACCCAACAAGCTTCAGAACCTAGTGGTTATGCTCAGACTGGTCGTGGAGGTGTTTATCATTATTAGGGCGACGCCGCTCCTTATACATCAGGGCAGTACCAGTACTCACAGGACCCTCATTATCAGGGTGGTTACCCTCAGTATCAGGCAAGTTTTATGCCATATCAGCCACATTTAGCAGGTGGATCCTAGTGGTACCAAGGGGGGACAGCCCCAGCAGGTAGAGATTGTTGCTAGCAGTGCAGAATCTTCGAGGTAATCTGGTCAGCCAAGGCAAGGACAAGGTATTCATGCTAGTAGAGGTCGTGGTGGACGATAGCAGAATCAGGGACGTATCCATAACATGACACTGCAAGATGCTCAAAACAATCCTGATTTAATCATGGGTACGTTAAATATTCTTGGTCATTTTTTCTAAAGTATTGATTGATTGTGGTGATACGCATTCTGTTGTTTCTTATTCATTTGCTCAAATGACGCAACCTCATCCTACACCTCTAGGATACGATTTAGAGTTTTCTATGCCTAAAGGAGAGAGGTGTTATGTTGATCGAGTATATCTAGGATGTCCAGTGCTGGTGGAAGATGTTGTTATGCCAGCTAATCTTATTCTGTTAGACATTGTTGAATTTGATGTGATTTTGGGCATTGATTGGTTACATTATAATCGTGTCATGATAGATTGCTATGGAAAGGCAGTCACTTTTCATCGTCCTGGATTACCTGAAGTTACATTTGTAGGAGAGCCTAGCGGGGTGAGGCATGGTGTTATTTCTGCCGTGAAAGCCAAAACATTGTTGTCGAAAGGTTGTCAGGGATATTTGGCTCATATGGTGTTGAATGATAATGCTCCTAGTAATGTGGAGGATGTGCGTGTGGTCAGGCATTTTCCGGATGTGTTCCCTGATGATTTACTTGGATAGCCACCAGACAGAGATATGGAGTTCGTTATTGATCTGCTTCCAGGTACGGATCCTATATCTTTGACTCCTTATAGAATGACTCTTGCTGAGTTGAGGGAATTGAAAGTTCAGTTGCAGGAATTGGTTGATAAGGGATTTATTCAACCTAGTACTTCACCTTGAGGAGCTCTAGTTTTATTTGTGAGGAAGAAAGACAGAACCTTGAGGCTATGCATTGAATATAGGCAATTGAATTGGGTAACAATTAAGAACCGTTATCCATTGCCTCATATAAATGATTTGTTTGATC